TTCAATATCAATATCAGAAATGACATCCATTTCCTAAACATCATGCCTCCAGAAACTCTATGAATTTGAGAAATGGCAATAGTTATAGAAAGGCTTCAGGCCTTTTGTTCATAGATTCACTATGAATCATGCTGGACTCGAAGGGTATCAACAACAACAACATGGCTACTCCCTTATCCCTACACGTCTAAGGAGCTTTCCAGCTACATTTTGTCCTATACAGACTTATTTGTTTTTTCAGCAGTCCATTGTTTAGTCAATATTCTTCACCAACACCACAGTTTAAAGACATCATTTTTTCATTGGTCTTCCTTATTCATGGGCCAAATCTCAAAATATCATAGTTTAAGTACCATTGTATTTCATAATTACTTTCTGTGCATCAGCGAGCTAGACAATGACTAAGGATGACAGAAAAAGAATTGATGCCTTCGAATTGTAGTGCTGGAGAAGAGTCTCGAACACACCATGGACTGCCAAGAAAACAAATAGGTCTGTCTTGGAAAGGGTGAAACCAATTTTCTCACTGGATGCTAGCATTTTGAAGCTCTGTCTCACATACTTTGAGCATGTGGCCAGGAGGGACGGGTCCTTGGAGAAGGACATCATGCTTAAAAAGGGTGGAAGAACAGCCCAAGAGTGGAAGATCTCAGATGAGATGGATTGATAAAGTAACTGGGGCAATGGAGGTAGGGGTGTCAGAATTAGTAAGACTAGGACAGGGCAAGGTTCAGAGCTGCTAGACATATAGGTTCACTATGGGTGGCAGGCAACTCGATGGCACATAACAACAACAACCACCACCAATTATTTAGTGACATCCTTGCTCTTGAACACTTTAAAGAGGTCCCTTACAGTAGATTGCTTATCGTAGCAATATGTCATTTGGTTCTTGACTGCTTCTTCCATATGTTGATTATGGATCCAACTAAAATGAAATATTTGACAACTCCAATCTTTTTCTTCTCTTATTATTATGTTTATTGGTCCAGTTGTGAGATTTTTTGATTTTCTATTTTGCTTTATCATCTATATAGAAGTCTTTGAGCTTCATTTTATGTAAGCAAGGTTGTCATCTTTATATCAAAGTTTGCTGATGAGTTGTCCTCCAAGCCTTATGCTACATTCTTCTTCATATAATTAATCTTCTTGGATTATTTGCTCAACATACAGACTGAATAGGTAAAATGAAAGACCACAACTCAACGACACATTTTTCTGATTTTAAAAAATGCCATTTCCCCTTACTCTGTTCAATTGACAACTTCATGGACAATATACCAGTTTCTCAGCAGCAGAATGTTCTGGAATTCCCATTCTTATCAATAATAATATGTCATTTATTATGAGCTCCACAATTGAATGCTTATCAATAGTCAATAAAACACAAGTAAATATCTTTCTGGCATGTTATCAGCAAACTGTGATATGCAAGGGATACAACCTTCAGATTGATTTTCCTCAAGATTTATCTTATGTTGGCAATGATGTTTTCCATTCCATGACTGCTTCTGAATTGATCTTGAACTTGTAGCATTTCTCTGTTGATGCACTTCTCCAATAATTTTTAAAGTAATTTTGAATCAAGATTTTACTTATGTAGACTACGAATTATATTGTCTTATAAGTTTCTCATTGTCAAGTTTTTCGTTATTTTTTTAAATGTACACAAATATGAATTTCATATAGTCAACTCTGTCAATAGGCCAGATAGTTGTCTTCCAATATTTGTGGCATGAACTAGAGAACATAGATGAAAACATTCCAATTGGCATTCCATCAATTACTGCAGATATATATATATATAATTTTTTTTTTTAGTCAATGCCTTCAGTGAAGCTTGAACTCTCCTTCAGTAGTACTCTTGATCATATAATGCCTCCTAAAATGGTTGAACATGGATCAATTCTCCTTGGTACAGTGACTCTGTTTTCTTACTATCTTCTGTTGATGTTTCTATGTCAGCTCTCTTAATTATTTCTTCTTTTTGCTTGAGCTTCTCTACATTCTAGTTTCAGAGTTTCGTCTAATATTCATGTTCAACTTTTCATTCTCTTTTAAGTTACCTTTTGCTTTCTTCATCTGTGATGTCCTTGATAACATCTGACAAGAAGTCTGGTCCTTAGCATTCAATGCATCGAGTCTGTTAACTTTGTCTCTAAATTCAATTGAAGGAGATCAAATGGGATGGTCTGGAGAGAGTTGAGCTGCTAACCCAAGGTCAAGCCTCTTTGTCAGTTGAAATCTACCAGTGACTCCAAAGAAGAAAGATAAGCAATTTTCTCTGGTGCAATTTATAGCCTCTGAAAATGCACTAAAGGGTCAGCTTTGAGGTGCTTCTGACTAGATGGCAATGAGCAAGAAAGAAATACATGTGTGCTACTACTCCAAGTCATATTTTGGTTCCTAAACACTTGATATAACTTCTGCTTCAACAATTTGATATATTTTAGAATAAGATGTGGTGAATGCATATCTTGTGAATATATGAAAAATCAATGAAATGTATACTTTAAAAAAAGATAAATTTTATGGTATATAAATTATATTTCAAGGAAGCTGTTAGTCCAACAGAAGCTTTATTTAAAAGAATGAAAGGAATTTGCATCACTCTGTTTCACAGTGAGCCCTGTCCTTGTTCTCCATCATTGCTTTCCACAGTTCTAAGTCAATGTTCATTAGGCAAGGTCCATGTATGCATTCTCTATTGATATGTTATTAAAATGGTACTTTCAATGTATTATGGGTTGTACAAAATTCTATCATGCGATCTCCAGTCTAATTTCCAGTAATAAGCTCTTCCTTTTGGGTTTTGGACTGAGAAGTTTCCAACGTTTACATTCCAATCACTCGTGGGTAAATCTTATTTGCATGTTGTATCTATTTTCGACTGCAAAAGTTGTCAAAATCCTCAATTTCTTCATCTTGGCTTTTGTGGCTGGGGCACAAATTTAAATAATAGCCATGTTAACAGGTCTTCCTTGCATGCGTATGGATATTATCCTTTTCACTGACAGCAATATATACCTCAGGACAGACTTTAAGATATTCTTTTTGATGGTGAATGCTACATCATTCCCAACATAGTAAGCCATATGATTGTGTAATTCAAATTGCCAATACCAGTCCATTTCAGTTCACTAAAACCTAGGATATGTGTCCAGTTTAATTTCTGAAAACTTCTAATCTTTCAAGTCACACTTTGTATAGTTCTTGTTTTAATTATTACTTATTAATGTGTATTTGCAGCTGTTTCGCATTTGATTTGTCATTGGCTGAAAGACACATCATTAAGGCAGACTTTACTTTGAAGAAGCAGCTTTTTCTCTATGGGATTTTGAGCACTGAATGTTTTCTCTCTCATACTGTACTAGACAGTATTCTGTTGTTATTCAGAGTTTTCAAGAGCCATGTTTCAAGAACATTATTTCATAAGTGGAAAACTAATCCTGCTTCTTTTTAGTCTGGGATCTCAGCTGAAATCTTGTTCTGCATGGGTGACTCGTTTAGTATTTCAAACACCAAAAATATAGCTTCCAGTGTCACAGTGCAACAAACTGACAAGAGACTGGGTCTTTCAGCCCAAGGTAAATTGCACATACTCCAAAAGACCTAGAGAACACAAAAATCAATGTGCCTGTGATTATCAGGTTTGTGGTGAAGAAGAATTGGAGAAGGGGCCTATGCACTCTTGGGAACTGACAACAGTTTCTCTGAGATTTCTCTCCAGTTTCAACAAGTCTTTTGCCAACCGGAAGGGGAGAAAAATGAGGAGCTCCTATTGCCTTTACCATTCACAGGCTGGGGGCCTATGATGAGGTTCCTCAGGACCTTTCAGGAGGCAGGAAGACTTGATGGGAATTTTCATTTAAGGCAAGCGCTGCTTTCATTAGGAGCCACAACTCCTGGATTTCCATCCCTAAATACTCTCCCAGACTTCCTCTGGAAACTTCTTTCTTCCTTTCACACAAAGGTGCACAAGCTCCCGCTCAAAATCTGCTCCTGTCATATTTCTACCTGCCCAGATGCAGGCCATGGGTTTCTAAAAGAGGTGGGGACAGGCTAGGGCCACAAGTTTTGTTTGGTTCGTTGGACCCGCGGTCGGGCTGGAGGAGTCACCGCAGTAGGCCGCAGTCTGCAAACGAGGCGCCAAGGGGCGGGGAGAACCCAAGGAAGAGAAAGCCCGAGGGGCGGGGGAGAGGTTAGGAAGAGCGGGGTGTGGAGAGGGGAGCAGGGAGCGAGGTGCAGAGAGAGGGTAGGGAGCGGGTGCAGGGACCAAGGCGCGGAGAGGGGTGCAGGGAGAGGGGTGTGGGGAGAGAAATGCAGGCACAAGGTGCAGGGGGGGTTAGCTTGGAGGCAGGCGGGCGGGGGTGGGGATCCTTTTCAAGTGGCCAGGCTCCGCCTCCGGCCCCGCCCCTGCCCCCGATAAGAGGCGGTGCGCAGTGACGCCCCAAGCACAACGGCAGTGGCGGCAGGCAGCTTGTTGCCTGGCCCCGCGCTGAGCGGGCATGCGGCGTGCAGCAGCCCCCTGAGTAGGCAGGGCCGCCGGCCGGGTGGGGCCCGCCTTGCGGGGGGGCTTGGGGGTCGCAGAGCTCTGGGCTGGGTGGGCTGCGGGCTCCGGGCAGAAGCAGCCGGGAGGCTTTGGCAGCCTCTACGCGGAGCACCGGCATCGCCCTGGGAGCGCTGGAGATGTCCTGTCTCTGCTGCCTCCTGGTCAGATACCTGGTCCCGGCCCTCCTGCTTCATGGTGAGTGTGGGGTGCTCCGCCTCTCCGAGCCAGGGAGTGGCGGCCACGATGGGCCGGATCCAGCCCCAGCGTTCGTGGCCAGGATGCGGGCTACACCGGCCATGGAAGGGCAGCCGAGGAAAAGGGGCAGCTTTCCGGACTTGTCCGGCGCACTTTTCCCAGGGCGACCGAGCGGGAGCGAAATTGTGAAGTAAGTTCTCCACGCCCGCGGTGCCCTGGCCAAACCTCACACACTCAGAAGTGCAGACTCCAAAGAGTTACTGTAATGAGACGGTAAGGAGAAACATGTTTTAAGAGGGGAACCATTACGAGGAGCGTGTAGAATTTCTTAGGATTCGTGTGTGTTGCACTTTGTGTGAGCACCTTGGCTCCTCTGGACAGGTGCCTGGCGCTTGTACTCAGGATGCACTGATGGCCTGAAATCTTCTGCTGCAGTTTCCAGTGGCGGAGAGTTCTTAACAGCTAAACCAAAACCAAACCCGCTGGAGTTGAATCCAGCCTATGGCCATTCTCCATTGGATTGCCAAAGCTGTAAATCTCTGTGAGAGGAGCCAGCCTGTCTTTCTCCCAGGAAGCAACTGGTGTATTTAAGCCTCTGACCTGTCAGCAGCCAGATACTCAGCCATCATGCAGCTAGGGCTTCTTAACAAGAGGCAGTAATTAAAACCAGCCCCTTGAGGACGGCCTGCCCTTGATTTGTTATTTCCCTTTGCTCTTGCTGGTTGATTTCCTTTGATGTTACATGTGCCTTTTTTCTTAGGGGACTATGCTAACCAGGGACCATAAACCCTTTAAAAAAGGTTCCTTCCAGAAATTACGGTGAGAATTGTTAGGCAGAACTGCACCGACATCAACTGTGCAGATTTTGTCCTTAGTCTGTATTGACAGTAGAAGCATACCAAGGGAAAAACAGATTCAGATGTCCTCAGCTAATTTTGCTTATAGTCAGACACTGAGGAACATTTCAATCAAATGACTTCCTCAGGATAGGAAATCTTCTTTCCTCAACACCCCTACTCACTCAGTCACTCACTCAGATTCTGGGTTAGTAAATTATGCACCCTCAACAATTCTATAGTTTTGAGTCTGCAGTGGATTCAGCTTCAAAATGCTTCTGGTGGGGACTGAAGGGCCAGGTTGTGTTCTTTAGACCACAGGCCACTTGCTGTGTGTGTCTGGTTGAGCCAGACCTGCCTGATTGCCAAGGTGCACGCTGAGCCCCAGAGATCCCAAAATTTAAAAGGCAGGGTGGAAGGCGTGCAGTTAGAGGGCAAAAGAGAGAAGGATAATTATAGGGTTGGACTCCTAGGCCCATCTGCTTAGAATTATAGAGCAGTTTTAATCTTTGGCTGAAACATGAAACAAATCAGAGGCAATGAACAGATCAAACAGCAGCTGCCACACAAAGAAGAAAAGAGAGATGAAACAGGAAAATTCTTTAAAGAGAGCTTGTTGTAATACTTTAAAGAAAAGATAGGATGGTTAAATGACTTTAAGATGAAAAATCACATGGAAATTTGGTATAAGCAGAAATTTTGCACTGAAATGTTATTTTTGAATAACAAAAATGAACTTTAGAGATGGAAATTACTTCTGTTCACGTGGTGAATTTTCTCCTTGTTTTGAGATATTAGGGATATAATAATACTTCCTACCATCCCATGCAAGCTGAGATACTAATCAATGGCAGGTAACAAAACCCCAAGTATAGCCAGGGAGAGGTTATAGCACAGCCCCTAAACCTCTAAAATTAAGAATCTGGATCCTTAGATAGCTCTTCAGAATCTGGGGATAGAACAATCATGAAGGTGCTAGAAGCAACTGAAGGGACAGTCAGAGAATGAAATAGTGGCACGTGTGGCCAAAACTCTTTGGGGGTGTGTGTGTGTGTGTGTGTGAAAGTGGGTGTGTGAGTGTGTGAAATAGAGAGGGAGGAAAAGATACAATAAAGGAGTTTCAAAGTTTAAATAAATGTCAACCAACACAAGTTATCAGACCTCAAAATAAATTTGCAGTGACAAAATTAAAGCCATGTTGCCCTAAGAGCTCTCAGGAAAGATTGGACTTTAGTTGAAGAAATGAAATAGAATAGTTGTTTAAGTTGTATATCTTTGGACCTTAAGGAAGACTTGTCATAATTACTTAGGACAACGTATATCAGTAGAAAAGATGTAATTATTTCCCCTCTCCCTTCTGTATTTTTTCACTTAATTGAAGTAATTTTGTTAGAAAATGGGTATTAATTGACCTAACACAAAAAACTTAGTGCACAAAATAGTAACACACACACACACACAAATACTATTGTGACTGTTCTCTTCTTAATTAGATTTTATAAGTATTTAGAAATTTTTTTGTAGTAACAAATGGAGCTTGAATATGTATTTAATTTTAAGTTATAAGTTGGAAGGAAATCTGATGGTGACAAATGATTTTTCCTGACAAAGAGCGCATCTTATTTTTTTTAAACATATAATAGCATTTGTCTATTTACAGGACTGATTTCTAGGCAAAAATATATTTTCTAAGACTTGTATGTAATTATGACAAAGTTAAGCAAATTTCATTTCAGATATCATTTGTAAATTATTATGCATATAAGTCATGTTAAAAAGATTTAAATGCACTTCTTTTTGAAGAGCTTAGAGAATGCTAAAGACGTGGTATTCAGTTTTTCAGATTTTTTATTACTTCTGTTTCAATTCTTTGCAGTCATGTATCAATACTGTAACTGTTTATTGGTGAGTAAGTTAGATTCAGGGAAGATTTCAATCTATTGTTTATTTTTCTTATGTTTTTAAAACTGTAAAGGCAGCACAATACTCATTAAAATTTTGATGGCATTAAAATATACATGTTTGTTTTACTTTCCTTCTCTTCAAATTCGGAAAACAATTACATTTCCTAATCCAAATAAAACCTATTTTATGTCATGAAAGTATGCAGCTGGAAGACATCTCTTATCAGTATTTTCTTTGCTTATATGAAATGACAAAAGCATCTAAGATGTCAAATTCCAAAAATCATTCACTTTCAGAAACACAAATTAGTTAACACTAGTCCCAAGTAATTTGTGCATTAGTTCACAGCAACACAGTAACTCCAGTTGCTGAGGAAAACGTTTGTTTTTAAGGTTTGGACCTGAAAAATATTCTTAAATGCTGTTTACTTTTGTAGAATTCATTGGCTTTTCTGAAACATGAACACTAGAGCTATGCTTTCAAAGCTTCATTAGTTAATGATAACCAATAAAATGAGAAGCCATTTAAATAGGAGAAACACTTTATCCATTAGTCATGAAGTGAAATGAAGTCTTGAGAAGAAACAGGACATCGATATAACATAGAAAGGCAGGATAATAGACAGATTAAATACTCTCTTAATACATAAACAGGTATTTTCCAGGCAGTTTGACTATTCAGGAGAACCAGCAAATTTTATCATGTCATATTTGTTCTTTCTCACCCTAACGGATTCTGTAGAGGTGAATTGTGTGACAACATGATGTAACCAATTAGAGCAAATATTAAAACACTTGAGAGTACACATTAATTATTAATGATTCTGTACATTGAAAGGATTTGAAGCAGAGTGTGTCTTCAGCAGATTATGCATAGAGTGAAAATTATTGTAGAGAAAATGTAAAGAAAAAGGCTGGGGAGTAAGAAATCCTGCCATCAGACTTTATGTGTGCGGCTTTTTACCTCAATCTCTCCAGTTTGGTAACAGATGTATTTCAGATAATTGCATGTTAGTGTCACTCTAAAATTATTAAGGAAGTGTTGATCTGTAAGGATTTTCCAGTTTCTCTTATTTCTCTGTTCTACAAGTTTGCTTGTGAATACCTAATGTACATATGGTAAGTGACGCAGACTGCTGAGCACAGGATTGTGAGGGGGGTATTGCCTCTTGCCTGCAGGGAGCTCTAATTGCCTATTTGTAGGAAATTGCACTGCAATCCCAAAGACATGCAAGATGAATCCACCAGCTGCTCCATAAGAGAAGGATGGACAATCTCCCCTGCAAATTACTGTCTCTGAAAACCAACCATAAGGTCAGCTATAGTTTGGTTCTGACTCTGTAGCACACAACAAGAAGGAGTCAGAAGAAATGTTTATTTTGGGGGGATGACACACTTAAGCTGACTGTAAACCACTCCCTGCCCCCTACCTCAACACTCCCAACACACACAGGTTTCATCTGTGCTGAAGAGGATTGGTATTTGTGCAGCAGTGGTTAGCCAGAGGTCCAGGGGGTAAAATCTCGTTTTCTGCTTCAACGCTAGTGTCTCTCTTGGACTATGATGTCAGAAGAAAAGTGGTAATAAAAACTGCCTGTTTTCAGCTAAGGTTAAATGAAGCTAGAAATTTGAGATCTTAACTTTAGTATAAAACCCAGATGAAACACTCTGCTGTTATATCAAATCATTGCTGACTTGTGGTGACCCACTTTTGGATTTCCAAGGCTATACACCTTAAAGGTGTCTTCTTGCTGAGGAGCTGCTGAGAGATTTAAACCATTGACTATGTGGTTGTATGTGTGGCACGTTACATACTGCTCACCAGAGTTCCTTTAATTTTGGTATATGTTGTTGTTATATACCATCACGATATAGACTCGTAGTTAACCCTCCAGTGGGTTTTCTGAGGCAGTTTAATGCCATGGGAGGAGGTAGTCCATCTTTCTTCTGAACAACACATGGTGCTGTGCCTTGAATCGGCAATGCAGCTCCTTAACAGTAAGCCACCAGAACTCAACTTTAGTATACTGTTCATAAAAAAAAGGAATATACTTTTAAATATGAAGGTTCATATATTGTTTGAGGCAGCTCTTTTAGCTCATCTCAAGAAATGAAACAAAGTATTTTTTTGAAGGAAAAAGAACTTGGTTAACACCTTAAGTGTGTGGGACTAAAATCCAGTCCTGCCTGTAATCCACACTTTGGTTCTGTGCTGGAGTTTACTTGGCATTAGCCACTTCAAAGGATGCATTTTACAGCAATGACTGTTTATTTAATTGGGTAGTGCAATTTCATGGCTAAGTAATTATTGCATTTAATCTAATCAGTTACATTTTATCTGCTTCAAGGTTTTACTTATCAGTCAGGTTCAGACTTGAGAATCCTTTTTTACTCTAATTACCAAAGTGATAGATGGCACATTATATAAAGTACAGGAACATGCAAAACAAACAAGAAAAATAATGGAAGCCTTTTTTCCCCAGACACAACCATTATTTTGGCATCTTTATCTAGTCTTTTTTCTTTAATAAAAACTTTTTTTTAATTAATTTTTTTTATTGGGAAAAACATATTGGGGTACAAGGAGGTGAGGGTTGGGGGCAGAAGGGTGAGGATGGGCCAGGATGCAGTTGCAGAGCTGCACAGTTTGGTCGGTGCGGGGAGCAGGTGAAGGAAATGATGAGGGTCCAGTGGGGACCAGATGCTACAGAGGAATGACAAGCATTTTTCCAATAGTAATTAAACCAACTGTCTTATTGATTTGGGAATTGGATGCCGACTCTCTGGCTTCTTCATGCTGAACAGGGGCATAGATATAAAGGGGAGAAGGGAGGATGCTTTATCACCTTACTGGTGGTCTTGGGTTACAGCTGCTTGCCTTCTTGCTCCTGAGGGCCACGACAGCTCGCCCTGGGCCGGGGGCTTAGGGCAGCCCGCCCCGGGCAGAGGGCCATGACGGCTTGCCCCGGGCAGAGGGCCATGGGCAGCCCGCCCCGGGCAGAGGGCTGTGATGGCTGAAGTAGTCTTTCTTTTTTTTTTAAAAGAAGAAAAAGTGTGTGTGTGTGTGTGTGTGTGTGTGTGTGTACCATCAAATTAGATCTGACTGGTACAGGAGATTGCCTCTCCTTCTCCAGCAGAGCATGAAGTAGAGTCTGGGTTTTTTTTTCCCCCAGGTGCCTGTCAGGGCCTGGATTTCAGCTGTCCACACCACAGCAGTGGGCAACGAGCTTAAAGCTCCTGATGGCTCTGGGCACTGACTCTCACCAGTGGCTATGGATGAAGTCACAGGCGATTTTCAGCCAGTGCTGGAACCTTTTTTTTTTTTAAATCATGTAGTCAAAGATTGGTTCTTCCCTGAGAATGCTTGAAGATTATTGTTTCCTTCCCAAATAACTTTACATATGCTAGCATGGGAAATAGTCTTGAAGTGTTTTTTTCTCAATCTTCTCCTGTGGAATAACATCTCACTTTTCCTTTTCAGGGCTGGGTTCTACCTTCCTGCACCCGGACAGCAGATCCCACCCCAAGTCTTTAGAGAAGAGTGCCTGGAGGGCTTTCAAGGAATCCCAGTGCCACCACATGCTCAAACATCTCCACAATGGTGCCCGAATCACGGTGCAGATGCCACCCACAATTGAGGGGCACTGGGTCTCCACGGGGTAAGAACTGTAATAGTAGTTGTGGTCGGGAGGGACCCATGAGCATAGTGAAGTGGAAACCCTGTCTGTGGTGCTTTCTCAGATGCATACACAATTTTTAATGTATAGTGATGGCTACAGTTTAACTAAGAGTCAAACAACTTCTTAACACTATAGTTAATAAAGAAACATAGACTCCTCTGGAAATCCTGTGCTAAAGCAGAGATTAACTTGCCCATTCATTAACTGCTTGGTGTGAGTGAATAGATCCTTATTTACTGAATTCTGTTTAACTACTTGTTTATAAAAAGAAACCATTAGCAAGTGGAATTGAGAGTGCATGTTTTACCTACCCTGAAACATGGCTTGCAAAGCTTCTTATTGCCTAACTAGTCTAGCCTGTTCTAATAATTTAATATATGGGTTCTCAGAGTAAGTTAAAGAGGCTCAGGCTAACTCGCCAACCCAGACATGGTGCTTGGTTGTTTTTTTTTTACAGGTTGAGCTCTATCCCAGTTAGACCTTTAAAATTAACCTAGAGGCAAACCTGTCATTTGTTTTTCCTCTACTCATTAGATGGATGAAAATTACCAAGACTAACTCAAGGATCTGGTGACTACTCCCTGTGCACTGCACATGAATATGGGTGCAGCCTCCAGGTACCTTAAAGAGAGACCAAATGAATATAAAAAGAGAAAAAATTAAAATCTATAAGATGATAAAATACTTGAAATTTTTAAAACGTGATTTCTTGGAATCGTTGCATGATATTTGCGTAAGCAATCTTATTGTGATGTACTTTAAAATATTGTATTGATATCTTCAACACATATCTCTTATGTCGTGACTATGTACCAAGCATGGTTCCAGATTTTCAGTATGTAGCAGTGAACATGAACCAGACATTAAAGGATTATACAAGTAAGCACACAATGAAATAGGTAATTATAAAACATAGTGCTGCACTTGGTGCTGAAGTTCCAATTGCCCTACAAAATAGCTGACATCATCCCGGCCTCCTGGGAACACAAAGCCCTGGACATTGTGGAGAATGAGATGCCAGGCCTGATGCACATGTGGAAGATGTACTCAGCCTCCAAGCCACTGTATGCCGCCCACTGGATATCTGCACATGACCGTGGAGACAACAGTCCTCATTGAGACTCTGGTAATCCTGTGTGCTGAAGTCTAGTGGTCCAGCTGCAACATCTTCTCTACCCAGGACCATGAAACAGCTGCCATTGCCTAGGCTGGTATTCTGGTATATGCCTGGAAAGGTGAAACAGATGAGGAATACCTGTGGTACATTGAGCAGACTGTACTTCAAGGAAAGACCACTCAACATAATTCTCGATGATGGTGGTGACCTCACCAACCTTATTCATATTCACACCAAGTACCCACAGCTCTTGTCGAGTATCTGAGGTATCTCTAAAGAGACCACTATAGGAGTTCACAACCTGTATATGAGATGGCCAAAGGGATTTTGAAGGTGTCTGCCATCAATGTCAATGACCTTGTCACCAAGAGCAAGTTTGACAACCTCTATGGCTGCCGGGAGTCCCTCATAGATGGCATCAACAGGACCACAGATGTGAAGATTTTGGGTAAGGTGACAGTGGTGGAAAGCTATAGTGACGTGGGCAAGGGCTGTACTCAGGCCCTGAGAGGTTTTGGGGCATGAGTTACCATCACTGAGATTGACATTGCAGGCCTCTATGGAAGGGTATGAAGTAACTGCTATGGATGAGGCCTGTAAGGAAGGCAACATCTTTGTTACCACCACAGGCTGTGTAGATATTATCCTTGGGTGGCACTTTGAGCAGATGCAGGATGATACCTTCGTGTGTAACACTGGACACTTTGATGTGGAGATTGATGTCATCTGGCTCAAACAGAATGCTGCGGAGAAGATGAACATAAAGTCTCTGGTGGACCACTACCAGCTGAAGAATGGACCCCGCATCATCCTGCTAGCTGAGGGCCAGATGGTCAACCTGGGCTGTGCTGTGGACCACCCCAGATTTGTGATGCGCAACTCCTTCACCAACCAGGTTCTGGTATATAGATTGAACTGTGGACCCAACTGGACAAGTTTGTTATGGGGGTCCACTTCCTACCCAAGAAGTTGGATGAGCCAGTGGCTGAATCTCACCTGAGCAAGCTGAACATGAAGCGGGCCAAGCTGACTGAGAAGCAGACCAAGTACCTGGGCATACCCTCTGACGGCCCCTTCAAGGCTGACCACTACTGTAACTGAAAACTAAGCCTGTCCGTAGCCTCCCAACTGATGTCCTTGCTCCTCTCCTTCCAAGTGATGTTCCTGGTCAGGCTCCAGTTCTTTCCAAGAACAAATGGCATTAACTTTGAGCTTGATTTTTCATTGCCATCTTGCCCCTCCTGATTGACTCCCTGGGGCTGGTCACTCAGCCTTTGGCCCCCTCTGTGTCCCTCATACTGTTCCAGATGTGTTAGAGGACACTGAGGAATTTCTCCCAAAGCCCTTATGATGGTAGAGGTGTGAAAAAGACACCCACAGGGAAGCACATGGGGGTCTTGGAAGTGCTTTCTTAGTCTGTAGACTGGCAGTGGCAACACTTTCTCACCTGGCCTGAGGGCCTTTACTTGTGCTCAATTCATAAGTTCTTCAGCCCATGACAGATGAGAAGGAGCATTCAAAAAAAGAGCAAGTTGGAACTGTTAGACTTTGAATGCTCCCAGGCCTAGCTTTGTACTAGGCCTTCTCATAAGCTGGGCACAGGAGAGTTGGAACTTTTAGTCCCTAGTTTACGGGGGTTAGAGCAGACATATTAAGGGATGGCCAAAAGAGAGCAAGGGAAATGACAGCTAGACATTGAGAGGGGCCAGAAAAATGTAAAAGGCACTATAGGTCTACCTAACACGTTGGTTCCTATCACAACTCCTGCGTTAAAAGAGGTTTACTTGGCTTATGGCATGTGAAGAGTAGAAGATGTGTTAATAAAAGTTTGGTGGGCTAAAATTAAATGAATGCATGAATGAATGAATTAAGTGCTATGTAAGTAAAAGAAAAATATCCAGGCGCTAAAAGAGAATGCCAGCCTGACCCATTGCTGATTGCTGTTCAGTCACTTCTGACTCATTGTAACCCAGCAGGTCTGAGGTAGAACTCTGCCGCATACTATTTCTGAGGTTGTAATCTTTAAAAAAGTAGGCTGCCATGTCTTCCTTCAGGGGAGCAGTTGGTCTTTTCAAACTGACGACCTTTTAGTAAAGATGTACTTACCCATGCTTGACTACTGGTCCTTGAGACAATACCAGGACACAATACCTATGTGAGGTTAGGAGCCACTCCAGGGAAGTGAAACAAAGAAGGTGATGTTGGCTCTCCAAAGATTAGGGAGGGAAGAACTTTACAGAGGACAAAAAAAGGCTAGACTGGATCTCAGAATGAGTCAGAGTCTGACCAGTCATCAGGGGTCTCCAGTGAGGCTGGAGAGGAGAACGAGGCAAGTTCTCAGAGAGCCTTGCAGAACATATTGTGGAGTTTGGTTCTTATAAATGAAAATTAATGGAAAAGAATTTTTTAAAGAAAAGGAAGCAAACTTGAGGTTGTTGTTGTTGTTGTTGTTATGTGCCGTCGAATTGTTTCCGACTCATAGCGACCCTATGCACAACAGCACTAAACCCTGCGCCAACCGCACCGCCTCTGACACACCCATCCCGATTACCCCAGTCACCGAATCAGTACATCTCATAGAGGGTCTTCCCCTCCTGCGTTGTCCCTCAACCCTCCCAAGCATGATGTCCCTCTCCAAGGACCCGTCCCTTGTGGCAACATCCAAAGTATGTCAGATGAAGCACCAGAATCCTTGCCTCCAAGGAGTAGCTTGGTTTAATC